ATCGAACCCAGGGCCTCATGCATGTAAGGCAAGCGCTCTACCACTGAGCCACCTTCTCAGCCCCTTTATAGCGATCTTAATAGTGATACTTTCTGAGGAATGTTATTTCTTTAATTGAAGAAAGTGAAGTAACACTATATTAATCATTTCCTCTCATAGATAGCTATATTGGCATTAAATACTAGAGAAAGTATATTTGTATTTTCATATGCCTTAAAAGAAGAACTGAAAGGATTGGATAAAGGCATGTGGTCTAATCAAGGGACTAGGTCATACCTAGAAATACACACAAACCCTTGATTGTCTGCAGGTCTTACAAAAGGGACTGTGAGAGCAAGTTTATTTCCTTATAAGGAGGCAACTATGAAGTTAAATAACATACACAGAGGAAAGGAGTTTCCTGAACAGTGGTTAAAAAAATATCTTACACAATATTAAAGGAATATGAGGCTATCAGAAATGTTGCAGAAGTGAAGGATGGCTAAGTGAATTTTCTTTTTGTTTACTAGAAATAGGTTATTTTAAAGACTTTACCTCTTTATTATTTTTTAAATTGTTTAAAACTTCGAAGATGTTGCACTTATGAATGCTCTTTTGGGCCATTTATTTGACCATAATATACTAAATTGTTAGAGCTTAGTTTTTAGAAATGACAAGTAATTACATTTTGTGAATTAATATTTCTTTCTCTTTTAAACCAACTGAAGATAGGAGTGAATATACAAAACATACTTCTGGAAATAACTTGATTTCACCAGATGCGGATTACAGAGCTGGTTCTTCATTTGAACTCTCGCCATCGGATAGTTCTGATGGAACATACATGTGGGATGAAGAGGGCTTGGAACCCATTGGAAATGTGCATCCAGTTGGCAGCTATGAGTCTTCTGAAATGAACAGCATAGTATGTATGGATTTATGCCCTTTTGAAATACTTTGTTTACTGTAGTGAAACTTTTGACAGACATTGACTTATTTTTAATTAATGAAATAACTTTCCTAGTTTGAGAAATAGGAACTCATGTGTGTGTCTGTTAGGGGCTATAAAGTGTATAATAAGCACAAAATGTATAACATTTGATTTAAATACATGTATGTATCATATACACATGTTCATTATAATACATACATACATATATACATATCTATGGATGTACTATATTGGTCAGGTTCAGCTAGGCCAGAAATTCTCCAGGAGGTAGAGGAGTACACTTCTGGAAACATTTTGGATCTTTTCTTTTTTGGTACTGGGTATATAACCTAGGACATTGCACACAAGTGCTGTGCCACTGAGCTACATCCCAGCCCTTTCTGGAAATATTTCCAGGTATATTGCAAAGTGTTACTTAGTGAATAGAAGTTATGCTTTTCCACAGTGCATAGGATAGTGCCCATAGCAAAGCATTACCTACCACTTACTCTTCTATTGGGAGATGTAGAGGTACCATTCACAGACCACCTCTGAGTTTCTTTACACAGTAAGTTTTTTGTTGTTGTTGTTGTTGGTTGTGGGGTTTTAACTCTGGGCCTATGTGCTGTCCCTGAGCTCTTTAGCTGAAGGCTGTACTCTACCTTGTTGAGCCACAGTGCCACTTGCACACAGTGAGTTTTAATTTTTACTCTTAGAAGTTTGTTGAAGGTCTGGATAGCTCTCTGAGGCAGCTGTCTATAGTGACCCCCACAAGTTTGATTTTGGGGCTTGACCTTTTGAGGCCCCTTGTTGGAGAGGAAGAGATTATATTGTCTCAGTGTAGTTACTTGTTTGGTTTGAAGGTGGCACTTGCCACCTTCACTTAACCACCTACTGACCAGACTACACATATGGTGCCATAAAAGTATTAAGGGGACAGGAAGTATAAGTTTCTTATGAGCCTGGAAAGCAAAGGAACCAGGTATAGGTGAGTGCTAGAAAACCTACCATTCATTTATTATACACAGGTATTTTAAGAAACAGTTGCAAGTAATGTGGTTAATATGTTATATGAATACACTGTAATGGATGTGTTTAAAATGACTCATTGTTAGCCGGCATCAGTGGCTTTTGTGCCTGTATTCCTGAATTTATGAGGCTGAGATCCAGAAGATTGCAGTTCAAAGAAAGCTTAGGCAAACTACATCTCCAAAATGAACAACAAAAAGGGAAGTGTGGCTTAAATGGTAGAATGCCAGCTGAGTAAGAAAACTGAGCCCAGCAAACTCCAGGAGCCCTGACATTAAAAAAAAAAAAAGACTCATCATTTATTATTTAGTATGTAAGATGAGATTTCCCATAAAAATCAAAGTGTGTGTGTGTGTGTGTGTGCGCGCGCGCGTGACTACATTCAAAGTAGATTTCAGGCAATATAATTTCTTGTTTGCCTATAAATTAATGACAGGAAAAAAAACAACAAACCCAACATTGCTACCAGGCTTTTTGGGGGGAGAGGGTAAAGATGGAAGTGGGAGTGGTTCTAGAGTTTGATCTCAGGGCTTTTCTGGGCAGGTTCTTTACCACATGAGCCACCCCTTATTTTCATTTTAGTTATCTTTTAGATAGGTCTCAGGTTTTTGTCTGAGGCTGGCTCCATATCACAACCCTCCTATCCATAGGCTCCCCCTCAGCTGGGATCACAGATGATTGCCATCATATCTGGCTTATTTGTTGGGATGATCTCCCTAACTTTTTGCCAAGGTTAGCCTTGAGGCTGACTTGCCATTCTCTCAGTCTCTGCCTTTTTTCTGAGTAACTGGGATTACAGCTATAAGCTATTATACTCAGACTTAACAGAGTTTTTTTTTTAAAAGTTGTACATATAGAGGAAGAATATTTAGAGAGAGTATCTTCATGTTATTAGATAAAGGAGATAAAGGTTACAGTTTATGGTTCTTTATTATGAGGCCTTTTAAAAGTGGATATAATTGAGCTGGACGCCCGTGGCTCATGCCTGTAATCCTAGCTACTCAGGATGCTGAAATCTGAGGATCATGGTTCAAAGCCAGCCCGGGCAGGAAAGTCTGTGAGACTCTTATCTCCAATAAATCACTGGAAACCTGGAAGTGGCGCTGTGGCTCAAGTGGTAGAGCGCTCGGTTTGAGCTGAAGAGCTCAAGGACAGCACCCAAGCCCAGAATTCAAGCCCCATGACCGACCAAAAAAAAAAGTGAATATAATTGAAATGCACTTAAACATCATGTCCAGTAGATGGCAGCAATGTAACATTTAGTACCCGATGTCTTCAGAGGTTTACCATTTTCAACTCATGATTCCTATACTAGACAAAATGTCTTCTCTTGAGGTTTACTATATCTCAATTGACTGTTAGCCCCTAATATTCATGACTTTCATCCTTGATCAGTATGTTTTTGATTACTTGAGATGGGAAGGAATAAAAATGTGCTTTGGAATGAGATGGTGTCTCATATTTCTCTTCTGATCTAAACAGAACAGGATAAGAAAGGATGAAGAACTGATGGAAAAGTTGAGAAAAGTGTTGAGATTCCCTTTTGTGATAGTTGGACTTAACATTTTTTCTTGGAAGTTCAGCTGGAATTTTGCTTTGAGTATTTTAAGCTTATTTATATAGGCATATACTTGTTTAGAATTATTTTTATGATGAATTAATCTTTCAGCCATTATTTAGTCTTCATATATCTTCTATTCCTGTTTGTGTACATGTGTCTACTCAGGATATTAAACATTTTTGTACTCAGTAAACCTTTAATTGAAACTGAACTGTTTTGGAGATGAAATACAGAATTTTTTTCTGCAAAGTTTTATTGCAGTTACATTTATGTTTACAATATTAGACAAAGGCATTTTTTCTTTTCTAAGCACAGTGAACCATACTCAGAATATTCTGCTGCCATGATGTGACTAATATGAGAGCTCTTATTGAGTGGAGTTGAATTACAATGTCACAATGACTGATTTTCCTAACTCTAAAATATTTAGGACATTGTAATTTTAAACTATCAAATGGGATGCTTTTATTTTTCGAGTTACTTTTTCTTTCTTCTTTTTCTTGTATTGTTTTAAAAAGGCTTTTGCCATATATAATCCCTAAAAATGTCTAGCTTTGTTTTTCTGTGTTTTGTCAACTTTGCCTCATTGTCTTATAGTAGGCCAGTTTAATTCCTTATTTAAATAGTCTTGAATATTAAAGGTATATCAAAAGCATTCAAACCATTGTTTAACACCACCAATTTTGAATATACTGATATATTTTATTGAACACTTGTGGTTTACTGATGAAAAATAGGCTACATTTATTTTTATTTTCGGTGTTACTGAGGGTTGAACTCAGGGCATTGTGCTTGCGAGGCAGGTGCTCTATCCCCAACCCTTTTTGCCCTTGTTATTTTTTGGTTAGGGTCTTAGGGTCTTGTATTTATGCTTGGGATTGGCTGGATCTCTAGCCATCTATTTACACTTCCTATGTAGCTAGGATCCTAGTACAACTGTGTCTAGCTGTTGATTGAGATGAGGTCTTACGTTTGTGCCCAAGCCTGGGCACAAACATATAATTCTAGAACCATAATTCTACTGATTTCAGTTTTTGAGTAGCTAGAATTATAGATATTAACTACTGGCATTTGCTTCTATTTTTGAGTTTCTGTCTTGGTGATTGCTATAGGTAGACTTTATTGAGACATTAAGTATGTGCTCAGTGTAATAGTATTCTTATCAGTAGTTTGTTTGGTTTTATGAATTCCCTGGGTTATTTGTACTGAAGTTTGGAATATCTCTAGTATAAAAGTAGAGAAGAATATCAAAATATTAAATTTTATTTTAAGTTTTAGAAACAACCTAGAGAATTTTTAACTGTTTTTGTATTTTTTGGTATCAGTGATCTCTGTTCTTTATCCAGAGTTATTTTAGGAAGAGAATAGACATGCTTTTTAAAAATCTTTCTAAAGAGTATTCACAATATATCATTTCAGAGATAGTGGCAGCTTGTGTTTATTCTGCTAGTTTTTTTAACAGGTATTCCACTACAATCAAATAGTTTTCATTTATGTGGCTTCTTTATACCTGTATCTTTGTTCTAGGACTCTTGTACTGCTATTCCTTGCTTGTATCCTTGTGCAAAGACTATTTGGTATTACTTGTATTTTTCTAAGTGTTGCAGTTTTTACCTTTGCATATGCTATTCTTAAGCCTAGGAAGCTTTCTTCCCATAGTTTCTCTGCTGGTCCATAGTGCACTTGTTCTCCCTCCTTGCTTCCTAAGGGTTACTTTTTAATGATGACACCTGACAGCACTTTATGTATGTATGCATGTATGCATGTGTGTGTACTATGTATATATATGTGTATATTCATTCATCCTTTTTTTGGGGGGGCTCTGGTCGTGGGGCCTGAACTCTGGGCCTGGGTGCTGTCCCTCAGCTCTTCAGCTCAAGGCTAGCGCTCTACCACTTGAGCCACAGCACCACTTCCGGCTTTTTTCTTTTTGCTTATGTGGTGCTGAGGAATCGAACCCAGGGCCTCATGCATGCAAGGCAAGCGCTTTACCACTGAGCCACCTTCCCAGCCCCTCATTCATCCTTTTTATTATTGCTGGAACTAGGGTTTTGGCTAAGGGCTTCACATTTGCTTGGTGATGTATTTGCTCTCTACTCCTTGAATCATATCTCCAGCCCACCTCTAACAGTTTTTAAAAAAATCACACCCTTGTTTTCTTCTTTCTTTATTTTTTTGTTTGTTTGCTAGATAGGAAGAGTGATGCTTGCTTCCCTGACCCACAACTGACTTAGTATAAGTAGTACTCAGTAAATGCCTCTTTTCTGTTAGAATTAATCACTACTTCCCCTCTGCTTCTGCAATGCTTTCTCCCAGAATCAGCACTTTCCCTTTTGGGGTCACTTTAATCTGTTCTCCTCACCTTCTGAAGGTAAGGGCCAAATTGTATTATATATTTCTTTCT